CTTGTATATTAATATATAATATGTATATAATCTGAATCTCGGAAACGGCTCCAACGATTTTCATAAAATTTAATATACAGGGGATTTCGGGGGCGATAGATCGATCTAGCTACGATATATTTTCAGAAAATGTTGTTTTATTCGTGTTTTCAATAATCAACTCTTCCCGACATCTATTGGCGAATAATAATACTATTTTTCTTAATTAAGGGCAACTAACCGTTTTAAAGACACAACAAGATGGCGTTATCAAAAAAAAAAAACCAAGCAAAGCTCGGTCATTATCTAGATAAGTTTATTCGACAATGCCGGTCGCAAAACGAGACAATGAATGAATGAAAGAGACAAAGCTCTATCAAGCTGAACACAGTTTTTCTCTTTCTAGTTCTTGACGTATCTACGTCTACAACTACATAAACATGTATGTGTAACATTCAGATTTCAGTTTTTCAGGTCATAAAGGGGTTGTATAAAAAATGATAATAACAACATCTTCAAACTCATTTCTTTCAAATACTCTTCGTAATTGGTAGCGTTTGATTTTTTTTTATTGCCCTTATAGGCAGCCGAGCATACGGCTCACTTTATATTGATTGGTTACAGTCGCCTATGGTCTTCAGCAATGCCAGGGGCAGAGCCAAGCCGCTGCCTACGGTTGAATACTCTCCACAAGCCTCGTTTGAAAAAGGACATGTCATAGCGCTCGGGAAACACCGTGGAGGGGAGCTCATTCCATAGCCGGATGGTACGCGGTAAAAAAGACCTCTGGAAACGCACTATGGATGACCGCAGTGACTCCAGGTAGTATGGATTGTAATATATATGGATATGGATTTATTCAAAATTATTTATTGTAAGCTATTTTGAAACTAATTTGTAAGAATTTTCTCTCCGTTTGTACTTGCAGTACTTTATAAGGGCGAACCACAGTATCCACAATATAACCTTGACAAATTTTTGTCAAGTAAATTCAAGACAAGTATGTTTATGCAAACCGAGACTTAATCTGAGTTACCGTTTGGTTCAGGTTCAATGTCACTGATAAAACTGATAAATAGGTTATATAAGCTGTTATTAATTGCAATTATTCGCTTATCACTTTAAATATAATTGCGAAGGTAATTAAATCAACTTAAAAGGCAAAATTAATAGCTATGATACAAAAACCGAACAAATCAATATAGAATATAAAAAGTTTTAATATTTTTAATTACGTTTGATGAACGAGAATTCTGTTTGTGACATAAGTTTTTTCGGCCATTACATTACTGTTCAAATTTTTTTAGTTATTATATCAGATCAATCTGAAAGATTCTTAAAGTAATATAAAGACTTATAATGGGTTCTAAGTATGACTCCTCCCCTCCTCCTTGCTTTGTTCTCCTTATTACTGAGGGTCTTGACTCCTCCGCTGCATCGATCTCTCTTGTATAATTGTTCTCAATCTGCTGCGATCCTTGGCCTCGTGGAGGACATCGTGGAGCTTGATATTCAGACAAGACCAAATTTGGTCCGACCATCCTGTGGGACTGCATCCTCTGGGACGTTTGCCCTCTATCTATGCCCGTCACCACCAGCTGTTCAAGATTGTGACCCTCCCTTCAAGCAACGTATTCAAAGAACTCCAATACTCTACGAATGCACATTGTGGAAAGTCTAATTATAATGTTAAGTTCCTTTAGTATTGACATATTGGTGCGAGATTTCATGGAATCTGCGGTAATCCTCCAGCACCACATTTCGAAAACAGTTTTGCGGTATGAGTAAGTTTAACCAAAATCCAATACTCTACGGATGCATATTGTGGAAAGTCTAATTTTAATATTAAGTTCCTTTAGTATTGACATATTGGTGCGAAAGTCCATGGAACCTGCAATAATCATCCAGCACCACATTTCGAAGGCATTTTTGCGGTATGATTAAGTTTAACTAAAATTATTTTATCTTTACGAGCGTACACAAACGAACATCGACTCTGCTTTGTCCAACTGAACTAGTTTCCTTGTTGCCTAATACCACGATAGAACATTAGGGACATTTTCCACGTGTACAAATAATGTTAACTACGTTTTTTTTACTAATGTGCGTTTTATTTTCTCTGTTCCGTAAGGTTCCGTATACGCAATCGGCTAACAGGTAGCGGCCCCAGCCTATGTTGGACTAACAGTGCGCATCCAATGAACCAAATTACATTGAAGATAGATTATAATAGATTAATATTGTTTGCCTTCAATATTATTTGTCTATACCCGTAGTGTACTCTTAGCGAAATCTGTGACTATTAGTGAAGTAGAATAGTCTTTGAAAATAGAACCATAATAATTTTCAAACTTATAATTTTAATTAATTATTGTCGAATTTCGACTATCGGGGCACCACTAGCAATCTATATATTAATACGTGAAGCAAAAATGTTGTATCACTTTTTACGAAAATTGCGCGGACGGAGGAGTATGAAATTTTCCACACTTATAGAGAATATAGAGAAGAAGTGCACAATGCTAATATTTTTTTAAAATAATGCATAAAAGACACATTAAATCAATAAAGAAAACATTACACAACACACTACATACCATGTATTTGACGCACACACGCATGCATGCTATTTATTGTCAAACTTTTGTTCTTGACGTCTGTGGTCAAATTGAGAATAGATTAAATATTGTTCGTGTTTATTAATATTTTTTTATATATTCGCCTTGGCGAAATTTGTGATTATAGAAGTATAAAATACAATCATAATAGTGTACAAACTTACAATTCCAATTAATTATCGTCGAATTTCGACTACCGAGGCACGACTAGTAATATTAATAATACGAAAGTAGCTCTGTCCGGCTGTTACGTTTTGACGTCCAAGCAACTAAGACGATTTGTATGTAATTCATATGGATTTCGTTTGAACTTGGCTTATAATATAAGCTATCTTTCATCCCCCATTTGAGCATGAGCTTGTAGACACGCGATGTGAATTGTAATTTAATCTGGCTCAGTGTAAAACTAGTCAGTTGCACACATGTTTATTACAATTCCATTAAAATAAATTTCAACTTATATGTGGCTGACAAATATGGAAGCGAGTTTCGACTTGCGCCGGACCAGAATCCGCTCAGAATCGGATATCCGTGACTCTTCTATGAGATCGGGGTGTGTTATTATTCTGCTAGAAATGCAGAGCTATTTCATTCGCTTTAAATTTTCAATCCATAAATAAATAAGCATGATGAAGTTTCCCGCTATAAGGTAGTGTTTCTGGTCTATCACCAATCATTTTGTAGATCCGTCTGTTCGTAAAACCACTATTTGAATATAACAAACATACTTGGTATTGTCCGAAGCGTTTTTTTTTATTGCCTTTGTAGGCAGTCGAGCGTACGGCCCACCTGATGGTAAGTGGTTACCGTCGCCCATGGACTTCAGCAATGCCAGGAGCAGAGCCAAGCCGCTGCCTACCCTTAAGTACTCTCCATCAGCCTCGTTTGAAGAAGGATATGTCATAGCGCTCGGGAAACACCGTGGAGGGGAGCTTATTCCAAAGCCTGATGAACCTGAGCATGTCATTAACTATGATAAAACTACGCTATGTTTGTTCAAGTTATCTATGTGCGAAATTTCATTTAAACGGCCGTCTGGTGTAGTGGTAAGTGACATGGTCACTACATAAGGAGGTCGCGGGTTCGAATCCCGCCAAGGGAAGATATTTGTATGATAAATATAAATGTATTTTCCAGAGTTATGGATGGATGTAAATACATGTATGTGTATAATAAAAATCTTACATTTATTTCCGTTATCTGGTACCTGTAATACAAGTTCTTTACGAACTTATCACGGGCCCAGTTAACGTGGCGTGATCGTTAGTAAAATATTATTATTATTATATATTATAAAAAAATCCGTATTGCACCGTTTTTTCGTGAATAACAAACATCCAAACATAAAAGCTCTCACAATACTTAGTATACATTCGAACGAATAAAAGTACCTCGTGCCTTTTAAATGAAACACACACATTAGAAGCGAGTTCACGGGCGTCGAAGCGTGAACCGTTAGAACGAAAACACAATGAATAAGTCACGCAAATGCTATAAATAAACTGATCAATGGACCTACGTTATGTACTTAAGTTGCACTCGATGATGCTTTCACGTAATACCACAATGATTACCAATAAAAACGTCATTAGCACATTAGCAATTAGAAATCGGATTTATTTATTTATTTAAAATAGTTTTTTTTTTATATGCCCTTGTAGACATACGGCCCACCTGATGGTGAGTGATTACCGTCACCCATGGACTTCAGCAATGCCAGGGGAGAGCCAAGCCGCTGCCTATCATTAATCTCCACAACAACGGCTGCCCCACCCTTCAGACCGAACCGCATTACTGTTTGACGGCAAAAACAGGCAGGGTGTTGGTACCTGGTCCGCTGGTGGATTCTGCTCTTGCTAGGGCCAGTGCTAGCAAATTCACTCAGGCTACGCCCGTGAGCTCACCTACCCAGTCCGGGCGCAGCTTAAATAGCCCCTTAGGCTGCCATCGAATAGCCGATACTGAATCAACCATTCACCGGTTGAGCCGTCAGTCGTGTTTTATAAGTCAAAACCAACTAACTACAAAATTGGACGGTAGTCAGAAGAACATAATATAAATGTCGACGAATAACATTTTAGTCGTCCCCGATTACGAAAACCACAATTCAAAACTTCCGAATCAATAAAATGATTAAACGTGATTAATAAACCGTAAAAGTTGTTGTAATTTTAATAAAAACTGAAGGTTCCCGAAAAGTTTACTTTCCAACTACATATCAACAATTGAGTTTCCAGATTACATTTGTTGTTTGGTTACAATGTTGCCTTTATTATTTTTCAGCACTGAAAAACTTTTCATTGGCAATCAATCAATCATGTCTGGTAAGTTTATTATTTTTTTAAACGATTACTTTTCATGGATATACATGCTCTTAGCGTGTTTAATACATAAGTCACTTACCGAGCAGGACTATTGGCAGGTCGATGAGTAAATGCCATAATACGCTGTGTTTCGCTTGCATTTCTACTGCTGGAACTCCCGAAAGAGCTGGCTGGGATGCTGTCTGTAACAATAATTCAATAAATGTACACAATGTACATATTTTCCTTCTCGCTTTTATCTATTATAGCCAAGGTAGGGTCAGCAGAATATACAACATCATTATTAACTTACAGTTGACGATAACCCTAGAAATGGTTTGCCTGGAATTGGTTGATTAGCTTAGACTTTATAGAGAGAACAGTTAAGTATAAACCCTACCTTTGACTACTGACTCAATAATAACCAACTAAATAAGGTGAGGTAGCCCGACTACCGCAAAACGAAGTGGCCATTGGTGGTATTATTGATACAAAGTGCCTTTAATTTATAGATTGTTAGCAGCTTGCAACATCTTTTTTTTTTTCTCTACCTATGCTGATAGCCTTCAGAGGCTATATCAGCGTTACCCTAGCGTGTGGGTGAGCTCTGGGGGCTCAAACCAGAGGTGTAGCTAACACTGGCCCTAGCAAGAGCAGTGCTTCGCAGAATCTACCACCGGATCGGAAACGAGACCCACTGAGAAGATAAATTCAGTGGGCTGTGTCTGCGAGTTAATTTACTCGTCGAGCCCTTCGTCGCAAGCGACGGGTTCGGCGAGGACAGTGATCAAATGAAACATCGTAAGGGATTTTTATTCCAAAGCCAGAAGGTACGTGACAAAAAAGATGCGAAAAAGAAGGAAAGGTACTGTGGATGAACACAGAGGTTCTAGGTAGTATGCATGAGTTCACGGGAGCTTCTTCAATAATTCCTTAAGGTACTCATCATGGGATATAGGGTACGAAACAGAGAGAGAATCGAAAAGCTTCAAGAAAATCGAATCCAGAGGTTCCAAATGATTCCTGAGAACTGGATTGTGGATTTTGCTTACGACCGTCCTCTCGGCAAATACTACATATTAAGCAAGATAGGGTAGATGATAATTACTTCTACCCACTGTGATCTTTTTGCACAGTCAAATGGCATATGTAAACCTCTGTTTAACGCGAAATATCTAAGGAACGAATAACAGTATAAATATTATTAAATGTTAAGTTCTCCGAACGACTTCTTAAATATTATTTTGTATTTCTAGGTCATCTCAAAAAATTACAATCGATTGCTACGTCACTGCGTGAAATGAAAACAAATCCTTCCGTATTTAAAATATTGTGTTAAAATATCCAATCATTCCCATTGGTTTTTTTAAAGGGTAACAACACGAAAAACCATTTAAATACCCCGCAAATTTTTATGTAACAATTTATTTGGTCATTCAAGAAATCGTAAATCCGTGAAAACCAACATTAACACAGATTCTAGTTAGTAAAATTTAACTGTAGCGTACTTTAAGCGTTGAGTTAAAATTAAATGTTAACCCAAGTGCAGACTAGGATAGCTCTGTTCTGCGCGTAAGCCCATAGACATCTACAACGTAAATGCGCCACCCACCTTGAGATATAAGTTTCTAAGATCTCAGTATAGTTACAACGGCTGCCCTACCCTTCAGACTGAAACGCATTTCTGCTTCACGGCAGAAATAGGCAGGGCGGTGGTACCTACCCGTGCGGACTCCCAAGAAGTCCTACCACCAGTGTTTACGCAAATTATAATTTAGCGGGTTTGATTTTTATTACACGATGTTATTCCTTCACCGTGGAAGTCAATCGTGAACATTTGTTGAGTACGTATTTCAATAGAAAAATTGGTACCCGCCTGCGGGACTCGAACACCGGCGCATCGCTGCATACGAATGCACCGGACGTCTTATCCTTAAGGCCACGACGACTACGCAACTACTTTACACCAGGTTGGCTACGAGATCGTCCACAAGCAAAAAAAATAAAATAAAAAAATAGAATCCGAAATATCTGATATTTATGAAGTCGTCATGGCCTAAAAGTTAAAACGCCCGGTGTCTATTCCTGCCGTGAAGCAGTAATGCGATCCGGCTTGTTGGGTTTATGCAATGGAAATTTAGACCTTATAATCTCGACGTGAATGGCGGCATCCACATTGATGTCTATGGGTTTCGGTAGTCGCCTAACACCAGGTAGGCCCTATGCTCATTCAACCATCTCAACAATAATAATAACATTAATAATAAATCTATTGCGTTAGTCTATTAAAAACTGTTGACTATTTAACTTGTATACGTTCGGATTCAATAAGATATTTCATCATGTAATTGTTGCAGAGTCATCAAGAGTACGAGAGAGTGTTTTAATTGTTCCCAGAATCAATTAGACATTTCGCATCAGATTTGTTGATCGTGAGATAAACATAGTGAAATTTGTGTATATCACTGACGAGTATAATAAAATACAAAAAATATCTTTTTTTCGCAGTTATATAAAAAAAAAAATGTTTTCTTATTGCTTAGATGGTTGGACGAGCTTACAGCCCACCTGGTGTTAAGTGGTTACTAGAGCCCATAGACATCTACAACGTAAATGTGCCACCCACTTTGAAAAATAAATAAGGTCTTAGTATAGTTACAACGGCTGCCTCACCCTTCAAACCAAAATGCGTTTACTGCTTCACGGCAGAAATAGGCGGGGTGGTGGTATCTACCCGCGCGGACTCACAAGAGGTCCTACCACCATTTGTGTCCCAAATCACGCGACCTTATGGCACTGACATTTGTTAGTTATTGAGATCTTAGGCATCGCTTTTCTTCTAGCCTGGCCAAATGCTAAAACTCAAGTGATGAATAGTCTCACTTGGCTTTCTTCACAATCGACCTATTGCACATCTTATATTGGAATTTACCAAATAATTACCCATTCATTCCGCATCTAGGTGGTATTTAACAATCACCCAAACAGTTATTTTCGTACCTACAAGTATTTACATTTGCATAGGCATGCAAGCGCCTACATACAATTATTTGAATCCGATGGTATTCAGATTATAAGGTTGCGAATTTTCTTGTAATGCAACGTGTGTTGGGCAACATAATTTGATGTACGTGTTTATGTTATAGGTTGGTTCTTAATGTTGAAGCCACATATTTGATTAAATTTGGCCGTTTTCAATGCGGATTGATGATGTACAACAGAATAATAATTACCATTACATTTATGATAGGATTTATCTAGACGTTTATATACATAAAATCCACACGTGTCGCTCTCACCTCAACTTGGGCCATAGACCTGAGAGCCACATTAATGAATTTATTGTTCATCTTCATCGTGGTAGACATTTCCATGCACTGTATCGCAAACCATATTTTTTTTACTGACATATGTCAAAATGTCATTGAGTACGAAATCACTAGCTCATCCTTCAACTTTTCGAATATTACAGACAGAAGAATAAATCAGGCGACATCAATATTGGGAGCGAGTAAGATCCGTTTGGCTTACCGTCAACCGTAATAAGTATTATACGTACCCTTGGAGAAAATTACATTGAAACTTGTATGAGGAATGTTAACTGCTCATTACTGTGAAGGCTACGCCTACAGTCGGAGGGCAAGCAAGGGAACGTACTTAAATGAGGTTTTTTACTAACATGTTGGTAATAACTGAGTTTAGTAGCTCGTTTAGTAGAATACCAATTGGTAGTTTTTTAAAGTATCTCGATAGAATGGTACAGTTGGTAGATTTGACATCATATCTTTCTTTTTTTTAATTAAATTTTACGTATTACGGGTTAGCTAATATAGCACTCAACATTAGATGTAGCGTTTTTTTTTATTGTGTTCTAAGCCGACGAGCATACGGCCTAACTGATGGTAACTGATTACCATCGCTTATGGATGTCAGTAATGCTAGGGGTACAGCCAAGTCGCTGCCTACACCCACTGAGTTTCTCGGCGGATCTTCTCACTGGGTCGCGTTTCCGATCCGGTGGTAGATTCTGCGAAGCACGGCTCTTGCTAGGGTTCGTGTTAGCAACGTCGTCAGGTTTGAGCTTCTTGAACTCACCTACTAGTTAAGGTTACGCTGAAATAGCCTCTCAAGGCTATCAGCTTAGGTAGGAAAAAAAAATCTGCCTACAAATATTTAGGAATTCAAACTTTCAAATTGAACAATGTAATTCGCACCATTGGTAGAAGAAAGTCGCAAGTACAATTACTTCAAATTTTTTTTATTGCACTATTCGTTAAAGGAGACCATGACACATGTGCTCAACAAGTTTGAAAAAAATATTCAAAAAAATGACGGAGTTATCGCAAAATTTGCGAAATGCTAAGATTTTTATTTTTTAAATGATTCGCCTTATTATTTACGTAATTTTTGTTATATTTGGTCATTTCTGAAATTTTCCCTATCAATAAAAGCTTATTGTTACTTAAACACAATTTTATTAAAATATACGTGCATAAATGAACATGCACACTTTTGCCACGATATTTGATGAAGATGTGAAGTGCGCAAGTTCAGTTACGTGTTTTTTGTACGTGACTTTTTGCAAATCATACATACGTAATATTATAAGCTCGCTTCTTCTATGATTGATTTCGATGGATTTTAATTTTTAAATGAAAATACTTAATTTTATACTGTATATTTTGAAAATATTTCGTAACGTAATTATAATTAAAAACAAAAACATTAGCATATCAGTTGGATAAACCACACTACATACTTAATATTTAGTTATTTCTTGCGAAATTTGATTATACAAAAATTTGTATCACGAAATTTCTTGTTTGTTTTTAAATCTATCACGCACGAGAGTGGTGCATGGGCACTAGCTGAATAGTTCTCACGTGCATGCCGCTACCTAGTTAACTATCATAGATCTAAACGTATGTGTACCATTTTGAAAACGTATATAGGAACAATTTTTTTACGCGAAGCTAAATACGATACTCTTGCAAACTGTACTGCAGAAGTAAAGTTATGGATATTATTGAAAGAAAATGTAAATGACTTGATGCGCATGCGCATGCATGACATGTCAATGAGTTTTACTGAAGATGGTATTAAATCTAAATAAAGTCTCAAAGGAATGTTCTTCTTCTTATGACGATGGATCATAAACTAGTTTAAGTTATACAGTACAGAACAGTGGAACTAGACAATGTGA